TTTTACTGCTAGGTAAGAGGGGCATAGGGTGAAAGAAACTCTGCCCATTGTTTCTCGCCAGCGCCCGGGATCGAACCCAGGACCACAGGATCACAAGTCCAGTGTGCTGTCCGCTCGGCCGACGGGCTCCCATAAGCCGTGATATACCACATAATATACTAGAAAATATTAATTTAGCCATGCTTTACTTTAGCTAAATTGCCCGAAACGTTATGATGTTAGCGGCTTTGCTAGAATATAAAAATACCAGTATTATGTAATCTCATAAACCAATTGTACCTTTTTGTAAAGAAATAAATACTAATAAATTGCCTATACCTGCTTGATGGGGTTCTGAGAGTTGTTCTACTCCTCAAGCCCTGACTTGTGAGAGTTTGGTCCACCAGGCTGTTGCTTGGAGCGGCCCGCAGGCCCACATATACCTGGTTGATGGGGTTCTGGGAGTTGTTCTACTCCCCAAGCCCGGCCCGATGCCAGGCTTGACTTGTGAGAGTTTGGTCCACCAGGCTGTTGCTTGGAGCGGCCCGCAGGCCCACATATCCACCACAGCCCGGTTGGTCCGGCACTTCTTGAAGAAAATTATCTAGTCTTCTCTTGTAGATGTCCATATTGCCGGAATATCATTTCTTATGCTCGCTGGGAGGATGTTGAAAAACCGTGGACCTCTGATGTTTATACAGTGTTCTCTGATTGTGCCTATGGCACCTCTGCTCTTCAATTCTGCATTTTCTTCCATATCGTTCACACCAGTATGTTGTTATTTTACTGTGTAGATTTGGGACCTGTCCCTCCAGTATCTTCCACGTGTATGTTATAGCCTAGTGATAATAATGTGATCATTATACAAAGATAGTCAAACCTACTCATTATTTTACTTGATAAAGCAAAGGTGAGCACATTGACCTTTAATACAATGATTAAACAAGAGGCCTGTATAGCAAGAGATTTTATTTAGGCGAAAAATAATACAAATACAAATAATTTATTTTACAAAACTTATATTTGATTGCTTTGACATTTATTTTATACATTTTTTATACATATCACAATAAGTCTTCATCAATGTACATCTATCAAAATATTTGGCACTTAACAATAGATATATTTCCTTAGCGAGGAGAGCTTAGATTATAGTGGGTGAGTCACACACACACACACATTATATATATATATATATATATATATATATATATATATATATATATATATATATATATATATATATATATATATATATATATATATATAATGTCGTACCTAGTAGCCAGAACGCACTTCTCAGCCTACTATGCAAGGCCCAATTTGCCTAATAAGCCAAGTTTTCATGAATTGTTTTTCGACTACCTAACCTAACTTTTTCGGCTACCTAACCTAACCTAACCTATAAAGATAGGTTAGGTTAGGTTAGGTAGGGTTGGTTAGGTTCGGTCATATAACTACGTTAATTTTAACACCAATAAAAAGAAATTGGCCTCATACATAATGAAATGGGTAGCTTTATCATTTCATAAGAAAAAAATTAGAGAAAATATATTAATTCATGAAAACTTGGCTTATTAGGCAAATCGGGCCTTGCATAGTAGGCTGAGAAGTGCGTTCTGGCTACTAGGTACGACATATATATATATATATATATATATATATATATATATATATATATATATATATATATATATATATATATATATATATATATATATATATATATATATAATATATATATATTACCTCCTTCGCATGTCGTCCTCCGGAGAGACAATTACCCGAAAAGTGGCTCCTTGAAGATGACACCATCTGGCCTCTAAGGCGCAGGTGTGACCTAAGCTTTTACGAGCCACCAGTAGCGAAACTGGAGATGCTTGTTACAGACTTGGCGGCAATTTACGGTGCCCTGGTTGACGCGAAACGACTCTTGGGAATACAAATTACGAAATGCTGAGAGACACGCGGTCCGGCACGACTTGGGAAGGCTAACGCCAGGGGCGCGTGATCCGATAGCCTTTGCACCGCATTAGATTCTGTAACAGCCTCATACGGGTCGACAGATAGCAAACCGCAAATTCTTATTAGGATATCATTCAGCAATTTCCTTAGTTAATTAGACAATCACTATAGCAAAATGACAAGACTTTTGAAGGCCTGTGATGAAGAGACTTTTAAATGGACTGTCCATATAGACGCTCTTAACGGTTAAATATTCAATTCAAATTCAAATTTCGAGTGTACTGGCCCAGCGCGGTTTACCACACTGTAATGAATACTTATGTTCTCCACCCAGAGTCATTCTCCAGGCCTTCACACATACATATATTTTACCTAAATTAGGCACGTGTTGTGACTAATCAACGATGGTAGTTGGAATTTTTAGAGCACCAACAAAATCAGCACATTAATGTTTTCCATTCCTCATAAAACATGTAGATTATCTACCCAATTTGTAAACATTATAAAACATGTCGAGCCTCCGGAAAATGAATTTGAGCAGAATTTACATTTTATTGATGAAAGTTTTTAAGCCGGAATTCAAGACTTTATGCTTACCAAAATCTCTTTTACCGGTTCTTCTACGGTCACTTGATGATGTGTTCCAGTCGCAACAGTTTCTTTCAGTCACCAGTTATTAATTTAGAGACCAGCGTACAATCAATGGATTTAATTATACACTGATTCAAGGATAACGTTTCTCACCAAACTCTAATATGCATATTGAAATTTCCACCACAGACATAAAATAATAATAATAAAATTCTGGGGTACGGTGGTGGTGATGGACTTGCTTGGTCGTAGATGTGATCCAGAGTTGAAATGTCGGAGGAGATTGACTGATGAAGATTAAGCCACCCAAAAGTTCGGACGGGCATGAATAGCCCGTAAGTCTGAAGAGGGAAGGTAGGGTAATTACAAGGAGAAAGTGCTAAGCCAGAATGACTATACAGCACTGAGAGGGATAAGATAATGGATTAAATGAATGGTATCAATCCACTTAGTCCATCAGGGATCGAACACTAACTCTGCAAGAAGTGAAATTGTCTCCGTACTCAAAAATATAGACCAAATTGGGGAGATATATACATATATACCTTCCCCTTTAGTCTGTGATACATGGCTTCAGCGTGTGAATGGATCAATTAGTGAACATATTATTATGGGTCCCTGTGGGCTAATCCGTCCTTGTTGGTGAGAGCCCATTGTATATAAGAGGTACATCGTGCCACAAGAACTAGACACTGGAAGGTGGGCGGTCACGGATCACACTGAACACTACAACAAGCCACAACACTTGTAGTTACTGAGAAACACAAGTACACATTCCCCGTGGTCAAAAGGACACCAACAAGTCCGGCGTGTAACTCACGCTGTAGCTGCAAATAAATAATGATAATGACGATAATATTCATTCTGAACTAATAATATATTGTACACACTTGAACTGTTTCTATTCTGCAGCGGGAGATACACACACAAAATATTCATACACTTCTGACAAGGATACGACAAGAGGCATAAAACTGCAGTACATATGTCAATTACATCAAAAATCAATCTAAGATATTTTATGGTGGCAGACTTGAGTTTATATAGCGAAGAAGCCTACAAACTTTAAAGTTTAACGTATAATGTGTTGAATAATACATTACATAATACTGCTATATATTTAAATAAAAAGTCTACCATCAAAAGTATCGTTTCAAAAAATCAGAAAAGCTTGGAGGAGAAGCGTTCGCATATGAGACAGAAAACAAGTGCCTGGGAAAACTTGTGGGAAGGTAAATGTTGAGAAGGGAGGGTAAGTTAATGTCCACAAGGTCATAATGCGAACGTGATAAAGACGGAGGCAACAGCCAGGAGAACACCGAAGGCGGTAATCAGGTCAATGCCAGCCAGTTGAGTCAGACATGCAAGCAAGTAGCATGCAGCCAGCAGTGACTGCATGCAGGCGCAATCCGGGGCAGCCGCTGCGCAATCTGGATCCTCACCTGAAGAACACGAACGTGGCTCTGGAGCGTCCGCCTTTGGGCGTCCCTTGGCAGCATTACGAGGAGGGTCTGAGGCAGGAGGAGGCAATACCTCCGCCCTCACAGCACTAAGAGTGTCATCACTCTCAGAGCTGGTGGCGGACACGCTGGCACCACACAACGAGTGATCACCCTGCTGTGATATAAGCCAGGCTTCAGCATTACGCGTAGGTGAAGGAGGACCAAGCAGTTGCGAAGAGATGCTGAGGGCCCTCTGAAGAGCCGGAGAGGGCGGGAGAGAGGAAGAGCGCACAGGCGGCAGTGGTACCTCTGCCAATGGAGGCTGAGATGCCTCTAGCATGGTCGAGGCACCAGCAGCCGAGCCTCCTGGTTCGCTACACTCATGCTCAACATTCTGGTTGATAGTGAGTGCAGCTTTATGTGGAGGTGGGGCATCATTACAGGCTGATGGGGGAATATTCATACTGTCGCATGCATTGAAAAGTTTTGGGTTTATGATTAGTTTTTGTGCTAATAGAGTTGGTTGGATGAGTTGAGAGTGAGGGAAGAGGGGCTCACTCAGCGGTTCCTCCACTCTCAGTGTGGAGAAGTGAGGCGTGCCAATCACATCCTTGTTACTACTACTACACTCTGAGGTAGACACGACCTCACCTACATTGGACTCACTTGACCCATTTACTAACATGTCAAAATCTGTGTTAAACACAGGTGTGGCATCTGTCCCCCTTGGTGAGGTGGGTAGTGAGTGAGAGCGCCTGACTTTATCATGCACATTTTGAGACACAACAATCATAGACTCTACCCTATCAGTACAAGTTGAGGCTTTTGCTGGTGCCGACTGAGGCTCCGAGGCGAGTCTTACTCTCTCCACGGAGCTCGGTGCGGGCACCTGGCTTCTACTGAGGTTAACATTCAGGCAATGAAGAACATTAGTGGGAGAGATGCTGGAAGTATAGTGCGAGAGTTCAATATCTCTCAGTGGCAGGTCTATAGCACTACGCCTACGAGAGGAAACCTGTTTACCTTCACTGCTATAAGACTCCAAGGCCATGGACAACCTGATGGCCTTCCCGATATTCACTTTGGCACTGGTCTTTTCGTTCTGTATACTATGACTCGCAGTGGATTGTGACACAATGGTTTGGGGCTCAAATACGTTTTCATAAGTGGGTTCTTCCTTTATTTTGAGTTCCTGAGTATCAAAGTCTGTGACCGGTGGTTCATCGGTGTTTTTGGAAGTTACGGAAGACGCATCGGACATGTCTTCATTATTGTCGATCTTGGAGAGTGTGGATATGAGAGCATCGAGCTTTGCTATATCAACGTGATCTTGATGATGTTGAGTCTGGGGTTTGGCATCTGCCAAGTAGAAAGGTTTGGCCTTGTTGTTGAAGATAGTGTCTAGGGGCCGGTATGGTGGCTTCCTCTCCACCACAACAGGTGACACAGGGGCGCTCTGTATGGTTTGCACTGTCACTATCTTAGGTGCTGTTATGGTGGCGATGGTGACGCTGGCCGTGGTGGCAGTCGTCAGGGCAGTAACCGTAACCGTCTGAGGTCCGAAACCAATGTTCTGGGGTCCTCCGGGTGGTATTCGAGCCTCACGAATTATCGCTTGCCGTATGTCTGGCTGTGACACGGCTCGTACCGACGACAGTTCTGTCAGGGTCTCAGTGCTAGTACTTAAATTATTTGTGCTAAGGTTATCCCATTTGTTGTCTAGCAAGTGGGCTCGCTCCAGCCAGCTGGGGTTGTGGCGAGGACTGTGAGCGTTAGTTGTTTTGGTAGTTTCGCTGTCACCTACAGCATCGTTGCCAAAGAAGCGACCAGATCGGCGTGCTTCATTTTGATGTTTCACTCGTCTTGGTGTCTGTAGCTTTAACCGTCTATCATTAATGTTGTTGCTTGCACTGTCTGAAGTGTCTCCCCTCAAGGAGTGTGCTCGGTCAGCTGATGCTGAGCGAACTGTTTTCCTTCTGTACACTGGAGATTCATTATTGGCTTCCGATAGGAGCTCATCCAGCTCAGCGACATTTACTTCCTTGTTGGATTGGTCCCTTTGTTCTTTTCGAAGATTTCTAAATGCTAAATCATCCATAGTTATATCTGGTTCTTTCCTGGCAATCATCTTGGGCCTATAGTTCTCCTTCGGAGTCACATGTAAATAATCACTTGGGGATCCTTGGGTAGTTGGTCCCAATGGGATTCCAAATGGTGGTTGTGGATCTATAACCTTTATGGAGTTAGCCTGCTTGATATTTCTATATGATACATCATCATATACAATATCTGGTTGCCCCTCTAACATTGGGTCCTTTGGCACATTTTTATCAATATCAGTTGGTGGGACATGAACTGCAGATACCAGCAAGTAGCTACCTGTCATCTGCAGCGCCTTCTGCACGTCAGGCTGGTTACGTGTGCTCTGCTGGCACCGGCGGTAGTGCATGTCATCGGCCTTCACATCAGGCACTCCAGCCCTCCTCAGTTTTGGTGTTCGTGATCTCCCTCGGCCGTGTGCTGTAGAATCTGCCTCTCCAGTTTCGCTAATGGAGTCGTGCATATCTTGCCCATCTTCTTTCAGCTTCTGGTGCTGCACGGGTAAGTCCCTACGTTCTGCTCGGTCCAGGAGGTCTTCACTGTCCAACTTTAGACTGGCATAGATTTCTTCCAGCTCTTTAAGTGCCTCCTCAAAATTGCTGCATTTGCTTCTTTCTAATCTTTCTTTCTCTTTTCTGTACATTTCTTCAAACTCCTTCTGATAGGTTTTTTCCTGCGGGTGTTCTAATTTATGTTTCATGATCTCCTGCAGCATTTGTCGTTTTGTGATCTCTCGGCCCGGGGTGGTCAGCTGCTTACTTCCTCTCCTCGGAGGTTGCGGCCGTGACTTCGGGGTATTTGGGGGAGAATCTTTCTCACCTGACTCAGACTTTTCCAATACCATGGAGAGTGGTCTGTTCTGAATAAGCTTTTTCTTTTCCCTGGCTAGACTACTTTGGCTGGAATCCGAATCTGGAGCTTTTGGAACTGGACTGGAGACATCACTCTGACCAGAGAGTGAGCTGAGAGATTCTGCTTGCTTCAAAGTTAGAGGCGGAGGGCGAGGCTTTTTAGATTCTATAATACCATAGGTGTCATCAGTGTGCTGTGTCACCGGAGATGATGCCACACCATTGGAACAATAACCATCCAGTTTAGGACTGTTAGAGCGTGAAGAGTCGCTCAAAACTTGAGAAGTAACACTCTGCATAGCTGTTATTTTGTTCTTTATTTCCTGTTCCCTTTGTCTCCATATTGTGTTAGCTTGCTGTAGTCTAACACTGTTGTCACTCATGTAGGAGGAATAATCTGATGATGGAGACGGAGGCACACTGCTAATAGGGACAATTTTAGCATACTGAGGTGCCTGGTCAGTGTAGAACAGCTGAGGGTTGGAGGTCTGGTTTTGAGTGTGTTGCAATGGCTGCTGTTGCTGCTGTTGTTGTTGAACTCTACAACATTGGTTCTGTTGAAAGGATTTTGGAGGCTGGTCTGTGTATCTATACTGTGTTGATGGATACATTGGAGGTGCTGGTCTCGAAGGTGGAGCCCCAGAGTTGGACTTTGTTTGTATTTGTTGCTGGGGAGATAATTCCAGTTCAGAGAAGGAACGCCGGTTGGGTACCATAGGAGGCGGTTGTCCAATAAGCTGATTGCTCGGTCTTGGACCCAGGTAAGCCGGCACAGAACGAATGCTTGGACTGGGACTGGAACCTTTTGTAAAGTTACTCATGCTTGATTGACTCGAATTTGGGCGCTGGGTCTCATGGTTAAGGTTCTCAAAGGAAAATGACATCGGCCTGCCATCTCCTGGTGACATTATCCTGCTTCTGTCTCTGGGAGGTGGAGCAGGAGGGATCTGACCAGACCTGCTTTGTGGTATTACATTAGCAGTTTGAGCACCACTACAATTAAATCCGGATGGTGGTTGCATTAAAAAGGAATTTCTATTGATATTACTATCATATGAGGCACTTCGGTGACCTCTAAGATCATTCTGAAATGGTGTTTCAAAATCTTGAAAGCTTCTTCTCATTTGTGTCCCAGATGGAGGAGCTAATGAGACGGTCACAGACATGTGTGGCGTTTGTGGCTTTTGTCTCATAGTCACAGCTTCCTTGGCATTAGTGGTATTGGGTGGAATGTGGCCCTGGAATTTAGCCTTCATGTGAGGGCTTGCTGCTGGACTCACTGACGGTGTTCGTAAGAGAACCGACGACTCGTATTCACTTGATTCCTGATACACAAGCTTTGCTGACCATTTTGGCTTGCTTTTGTCTGGGATCTGTTGCTTTTCAGCATTAATTTTATTTCTCTCAGCTTCAAATTCACGCACTCGCTGGATTTCTTCAATTCTGGCTTGCACTACTTCACGATTTCGGCGGTCCTTCTCAGTCTCATTACGTAGAGTCTCCAGCTCCTGAGACTTCCTCCTGAGGAACCGTTCAGTTCGCGCTGCTCTTGTACGTCTGCTCAGAGAATTTGTTTTAGAAAGACTATATTCGCTGCCATACATAGAATGTGATGACACAGATGCCTTCTCCTCATCAGAACTTGTATCCTTGAACTTGTCACGTAGTCGCTCCACTCGTGCCTTAAGGGCTTCTCGACGCTCTTTTTTACTTATGGTGTCTGTGCTGGAGCTGCGCGTGCCCATCCCTCCTCCTGAATAGTACCCAAGGGAAGCATGGGAGCCACCCCCTCCCCATGATCCCAGACTCACTGGTAAAGAATCATGTGATGCAGAAACCCCAATTTTTGAAAGTTTGCCTGGTTGTGGCATCAACAGGGGAATACCTAATGGCTGTGTATCCCTGCCCAGACTCCCCGTAGTGGTGGTCGCCACTCTCACCCGTCTGCTGTTGTTCTCCGCCAGTAACATCGTGTTGATCTCCTGCGTACGAGGCTCTATACTCTGCCCAGGAAAATCATCTGCCGTGACCCGCGCATTGCCCAGAGTTGGAGCATCTGCAGTGGCAGGTGGAAGAGAAGGCTCCTTTTCTTTGGCCTCCTTTTTCTTTGTTCGACGACGAAGAAATGTTCTCCGTTGGGGTGGCTCCTCACTGTCACTATTGCTGGTGTTGCTGCTAGAGCTGCTGCTTACCTCCTTTTTCCGACGCCTGAAAATACCACTCAGAAGAGATCGCTTCTTCTTTTCTAACTGAGGTGTGGGTTTGCCTGGAGTTGGTTCTTGCTGCCGCTGCTGCCTTTGTTGCTTCTGATCTCTTTGTGTTTGTTGCACCAACTGTTGTTTTTGCTTTTGTTGTTGTTCGTGCTGCTGTTGTTGAAGCAACCTCTGCTGTTGCTGATTTTTCTGCTGCTGCTGAGCTCTTTGTTGTTGATTTTGCTGCAGCTGTTGTTGTTGTTTTTGCAGTTCCTGATAATGTGGCTGGTGTAGTTGCTGTTGCTGCAGCTGCTGCTGTTGTTGCTGCTGCAGGTGCTGTTGCTGCTGTTTCTGCAGCTGTTGCTTCTGCAGTTGTTGTTGCTGCAGCTGTTGTTGTTGTTGCTGCTGCTGTTGTTGTTGTATTGAGCGTTGCTGTTGCAATTGGCGCTGTTGGAGGGTAACGCTAGGCATGAGGGCAGAGACTCTGGTCGCCCGGGGGCTGGTTGGTCCCCGGGGCGGGGCAGCAGGGGCAGCATCATGCCGGACAGGCGGTGTCGGGCTCTTGCTGGTGTTGAAGGCCTCGCGGAAGGAGGGTTGATGCGAGGAGCCACGGCTGTAATAACCAGGAAGAGAGTTGGCTTTACGCGGAGCGGAGGAGGAGACACGGGCAGCTACGGAGGCGAGGGCGGCGCCATCCTCCATCACACCCCCGCCCACGCCTTTACTCCCACCACCTCCCTGCACGCTCTGAAACAGATAAAAACACACATTAAAACACCATACGAGTTTGTTATGTATTATGCTACACATTAAGACATTCCTGGTTTCTTATGCCAACATATCTCAAGGAAGGTAAGGTAATTATCGGGAGAAAGCACTAAACCATTACGACTATATAGCACTTGGAAGGGATATGGCAATAAGAATTTGGGATGGGACGGGGGGAAAGGAATGGTGCCCAACCACTTGGACGTGCGGGGATTGAACGCCGATCAGCATGAAGCGAGACCGTCGCTCTACCGTCCAGACCAGGCTTATCTCAAGCAATTTATATTTATTGAAAACACAATATATCTAAGAGATACTCTGTGGAGCAGGACAGTGGGGATTGAACCTGGATGTTTAACTTTTAAGATATAACCATCCATTGGTAAGGTGTGCGCCTCACGCGACCCACAACAGTGTGATAGATCAAATTGCTAATGTAATAAATCTCCGCTGAGGTCTGATAAAAGACTTTTGTGCCCTCTGTAATCCTTTTTGCGCTACCACTCACAGGATGAGTATGGGGTGCACAATAACCTAGCCGCCTCCGTCGCCAACAATAAAAAATCAAATCACTCCATCCCACCGCCCAAAAAGTTTTTTCATTCTATACGTTCTATAAAATACATTAAAATACAAATATAAAGCTCAGTTTTATAATCATACATATTTCTTCAAGGTTCCAAGTCAATACGAAAAGGCGTTTTCGACATATCAGAAAAAATACAAATATATATAGTCGTACTTATGATACATAACACAGTATGTTGTATGATATGATTTATCATACCAAATATCATATCATACCATCATATTATCACAGTATTATTAGGAACCAAAGAGCCAGAGTTCAACCCCCACAAGCACAACTAGGTGAGTACAGTTATCAGAGGATCTTGATAAGAACATAAGAACAAAGGTAACTGCAGAATGCCTATTGGCCCATACGAGGCAGCTCCTATCTATAACCACCCAATCCCACTCATATACATGTCCAACCCGCGCTTGAAACAATCGAGGGACCCCACCTCCACCACGTTACGCGGTAATTGGTTCCACAAATCAACAACCCTGTTACCGAACCAGTATTTACCCAAGTCTTTCCTAAATCTTGATCTTTGATCCAGCCCATTCTCTTATGTTGCCACAACGGACAAAATACAGGGTACTAAGACACGAGTGAACCCAAGATACCTACGTATCCTAACCTAACCTAACCTGACCAACCTATGCACAGAAAACGTAGACGATTGAGCCACTGTCCATGGAGGACAGAAAAAAATGTATATATGCTGGTTAGCATTGTAAATGTATGGCCACGTCTGTGGTAGAAAATAATAATAATAAAAATAAAACTGCTTTTCATACTACCCCCATAATTTTTCCATTGTGGGATCATAACTCACAGAATACTATGTATTATTTGAGTGGACAGGTTGAGATCATACACAGGAAGCTTACTCTCTTCATCATACACAGGACACTTACTCTCTGGATTATACGTATGTTAAGGTTGAAGAAACAGCTGTATACAGTCGTGAAGACACGAGAGGGACACTTGGAGTGCTTGAGACAAGCTGCTATTCCCAGGGATATCTTCTGCCAGAATGGTCCCCTCCCCACACATGTCAAACTCTGAATACGTGTGACATATGTGGTGATGGCTCTGGTGTGTGTGTGTAGAGAGGAGGGGGTGTAGTGGGGGGTTTGGGTGTGTGTGGGAGTGAGAGAGGGAGTTGGGGGTGTGTTGTGGGGGTTTGGGTGTGTGTGTGGGAGTGAGAGAGGGGGTTGGGGGTGTGTTGTGGGGGTCTGGGTGTGTGTAGGAGAGAGAGAGGGAGTTGGGGGTGTGTTGTGGGGGGTGTTTGGGTATGTGAGAGTGAGAGAGAGGGAGTTGGGGGTGTGTTGTGGGAGTTGGGGGTGTGTTGTGGGGGGTTTGGGTGGTTGGTGGGGTTGCAAGAAACGTTTCACCGGAGAGTGGGAGTATCTGGCACTGGCACGTTCACACACACGTGTTTAAACTGACTATTCTGGGCGGTACAGCAAGGTGCCTGGCACACACGGCGCCCACCCACAGGACAAACACCACTCTACACCTTCACATACACCCACCTACTACACCCCCACCCCCCCTACACACCCACATACACCCTGTACACCCCCCAACAACCCTTACAAGCCGTTTGTATCATCCGGCAACCCATCCTCCTCAAATAATAGTACGTATAGTAACTATTCAAGCCAAAGAACCAATATGTAGTGATGAACCAAGAAAATGTTTAATGTTTGTGCTTTCAATTTTATAGAATCCGGAAAAAAGGTAAAAACCCAATCATAAACACTCGTAGGCCTAATATAGCACATATATACACTAAATTAGGCCTAATATAGCACATATATACACTAAATTAGGCCTAATATAGCACATATATACACTAAATTAGGCCTAATATAGCACATATATACACTAAATTAGGCCTAAAACAGCTTGTATTAGGCCTAGGGTAGCTATGAGAGGTTAGGTTGCGTATGTTGTGGTGAACAAAATTTCCTCATTTGGTTAAATTCCATAATATAAAATGTCAATTTTTTGGTATTTCATCACTAAATATATTGGCACTTTCTGCCGAGTGGTTAATATAAATTCTCCCCATTTAATAACCATTATCTTGGCAGGTCTTTGTAATCTCTCAATCCAGGATATGGAAACCTTTGCTGCACATTTTTCATGTTCTGTGTTTCCTCAGTGTACCAGTGGAACACTATAGTGCCACCAGTGGAACACTACAGTGCCACCAGTGGAACACTACAGTGCCACCAGTGGAACACTACAGTGCCACCAGTGGAACACTACAGTGCCACCAGTGGACACTGACACACACTACAGTGTCTACACACCCTCACTACAGTGACACACACCCTCACTACAGTGCCACCAGTGGAACACTACAGTGTCACTGTAGTGTTCCACAGAGAATGCGTCTAAATTATACGTTGCTGGTGACGTTGGTGAGACAGGACAAACATCACTTCACAGACTCGCTGATGTTAAGTTAGATGATTCAGTAAGTCTTAATTGCGGCCAATTGGCTCGTTTGGTCACGTGTCTGCACTTGACGCTCGTTTCAAGATGGTACGCTCAAGGGGGAGGTGGATAGTGAGAGGTTATTCCTAGCATCTTCCTCCCAGACAAGTGTCAACAACCTCCACCCCACACAACCCCACACACACCCTTCACCACACACACCTTCACTACCACACACACCCTCACTAACACACAATGCCACACACACGTTGGGACCAAAGAGCCAAAGCTCAACCCCCGCAAGCACAATTAGGTGAGTACACACACACACACACACACACACACACACACACACACACACACACACACACACACACACACACACACATTCGGGACCAAAGAGCCAAAGCTCAACCCCCGCAAGCACAATTAGGTGAGTACACACACACACACACACACACACACACACACACACACACACACACACACACACACACACACACACACACACACATTCGGGACCAAAGAGCCAAAGCTCAACCCCCGCAAGCACAATTAGGTGAGCACACACACACACACACACACACACACACACACACACACACACACACACACACACACACACACACACACACACACACACACATCACTTTAGGCAGTGATGTGGTGGAGGCTGACTCCAAACACAGTTTCAAATGTAGATATGATAGAGCCCAATAGGCTCAGGAATTTGTACACCAGTTGATTGACAGTTGAGAGGCGGGACCAAAGAGCCAAAGCTCAACCCCCGCAAGCACAAATAGGTGAGTACACACACACACAAACACACACTATCACGCAATAACGGGGTAAGGATAGCTTGAGCTACCTCATCCCTTTGTGTGAATTTTATCTCAATAAACTTTATTTCAATTTCTATCAGGCGATGTCACACACCCTCTACCACCACACACAACCACCCCACCACTCACCACCATCCCCTCCACACACACACTACCACACAGCTGCCCCGATATACAGAGCTCAAAAGAGCTCAACCCCCGCCAGCACAACTAGGCCAGTACAAGAAGGGTGACAGGCAGGAGGCACTGAACACCAAGTCAGTGTCCCTAACTTGCATACCACGCAAGTTAATGGAGAAAATTGTGCGAGAACAACTACTAGAACATCTGGAGGGAAGAGAGAGAATTATCATAGTAAAGCGCCAAGCCATTACGACTATACAGCACTGGGAAGGATAGGGATATGGATTTGGGATGGGACAGGGGGAAAGGAATGGTACCCAACCACTTGGACGGTCGGGGATTGACGCCCGACCTGCATGACGCGAGACCAGTGCTCTACCGTCCAGCCCTATAGTGTAAGAAAGAGAAGAGTGGGCGACTGCATAGGATACAACTGCATATTTTTGGATTGCCAGAAAGGCCTTGACACAGTACTCCAAAGGAGACAAATGCTGGAGAAGCAGACAGGAGAACAATGGAATGTACTCCAATGGATAAGGGAGTACCAAAGCACCAATAGTTGTGTCTATAAAATTCCACGTAAAGGTTATAATAAGCTCTATGTTGGCCAAATAACCTAAACATCTTCACCAGAGAATAAAAGACAAATATAGCGTAAGGAGAAGTCAAGAGTCCAATGCATTGTTTACCTACTTAAGAGATTGCAATCTCTTAAGTCTCAACGAATTCACACACAATTGTTGAGTGTAAATCAGTGAAAAGATAACATTAATATAAGTCCATGATTACATAAATTAAGATAGCTGTGGTAAGATTTGTGATAGCATAAAATAGTGTAAAGAATAAATGTGTAGGACATTCCAAGAATTCGGGCATTCTTGGAATATTCTCTAAGAATTAGTTCTCTTCCCCTCGTAGCTGAGACTTACGTTCTCGAAGCGTTGGAAGGAGATTGGGTTGAGACGACTGGGGACATGTCTCCAAGGAGTGGAGGGAGACACAGGAGACGTGCTGGAGACGGAGCTGGGGACGCTGACGGAGAGCCAGGCAGTGTCTCCCAGAAGCTGCTTCTTTGTGGCACTAGGAGATGTTCCTTGGGTGATGCTGGGAGGAGATTCTTTGATATCACCGGCAGATTGTCCTGTGGAAGAGCTGGTAGAAGATGGTACTTGGGTAGAGCTTGTAGGTGGTTCTTTGGTAGATGGTACTTGGGTAGAGCTTGTAGGTGGTTCTTTGGTAGATGGTACTTGGGTAGAGCTCGTAGGTGGTTCTTTGGTAGATGGTTCTTTGGTAGATGGTACTTGGGTAGAGCTAGCTGACGATCCTAGAGCATTATGGAGAAATTCTCTTGCAGCAGCGGGATATGATTTCTGGCTAGACTTAGATGGCCTCTGGGTATATCTAGATGACCCTTTGGTAGCGTTTAAGTGGCCCTGGGTAGTGGGGCCCTCTGTAACACTTGGTAGATCCTGGGTAGAGTTGGGCTGCCCAGTAGTGCTAGATAACCGGGTAGCACTAGAACACTTCTCGGTAGTGCTAGGTTCTATCTTGATAGATCTAGATGACTTTTGGGTAGCATTCAATGGCCGTTGGATAGAAGTAGATACCTCCTGAGTTGTGGTAGATGGCCCTGGGGTAGACGTAGGTTGGTCAACAGTGCTAAGAGGTACCGGGATGGATCTTAACGAAGCTTGAGTAGACGTAGATAGTTTTTTGAAAGATGAGGTAGATGTGCCTTTTTTAGTCACAAGAGATGGCCCTTCGATCCCGTGTGAAGAGAGCCGCTGGGCCTCGCTAGATAATTCTTGAACAGGTCTAGATAATCCCTGTGAGGACCTAGATAACCATTGGGGTGATTTAGTTGGCCATTGGCTAGATCTCGAGGGTTCTGGGTCATTTCTGAATAGTTCTCGAGTTGAAGGCCATTGGGAAGATCCCGATTTTCCTTCTGTAGATCTAGATGGGTTTTGGACAGATTTAGATGGTTCTTGAGAACTAAATAATCCTTGGGTAAGGGAGGAGGATGTTCCTAGGGCTAGACTGTGAGGTGGAGTCTCGGTAACGGAGGTAGACGGCCTTCTGGTGGCGTTAACAGGCCACTGGGAAGCACTTGGAGATGGTCGCTGGGTAGCGGCGGTGAAAGGCCTTTGGCAGAAGCTTGAAGATAACCGCTGAGGCGCACCAGCAGAGAACTCTTGACAAGCACTTGGGGACGGGACCTGACTAGCACTTGAAGACTTACAAATAGAATTGAGGAATGGCACCCGAGTGAACTTGGTGGAGTCCTGGAGGGAGGTGTCTGCGGAAGACCAGTGTGATACCAGAGTGGGCGGCACAAGAGCCAACTTGTTACCACAAGGATTGTTAACCCCTACAAGGCTAGCGGCGTCACCCTCCGTCACTGCACCTTTGTCTGGGTTCACTCTACGTCCGGTTCTGCACGCTGCTGTTTGACTACCGAAATTTTTCACGCGTTCTGCTGGGTTAAATCTCACTGGCGACCATGAGGCTGATTTGACACACGAGCTTGGGCTATAGGGCGTCGGCGCCAACAGATTCTGTGTCGACGAAGGTTTGGAGACTCGTGTATAAGGAGAAGGTGTGCCGAACACGCTGGAGGTGGAGAGGGAGGTGTTCCTGGACGTAGCAGTGAGGGACGGAGTGGCACCGTAGCCCAAGAGATTAGTCTCCTCGCAGGAGAGGCTCCTCCCCAGGCACTGAGCGCCCGGCTGGTTGCAGCTGAGAGTGATGTGCAGCGTCGACACCATGGCGCCTTAAGACGCTGGTCAACACTTCAACACACTTGGCCTGGACTTCACCCCCTCTGCTCCTCGCCTCTCTCAACACACTCCAAACATTTCTTGCCTTAGTATCACAAACTCCACAGAGATGGCGTGCACCGCTGCTAGCAAGATGCCTTCTCTAAGGGTTTCAACGCCGATATTATCTTCATATAACCTCCATCCATCAAATATGTATTTCTTACAGAGCCAATAGAGCTATAGAAAGACGTTGCTGTCCTTGAGCTCTGTATATTAGAGTGTGGGAGAGATGGTGATAGTTAAGCTAGCAGTGAGGGTGAGGGGAGAGTGACTACAGCCACAGGGAAGGAAGAGGGGAAGGCCTGTGGTACGAGGCTCTGTACTACTCCGTATTATGCATCGCAAACCCTTGTGTTTGCGATGCACTTTGAGTGAGCAACATATATTGTTGCCTGATTCAGTAAACTGAAGTTACCGCTTACTGGACGCGGCCACACCATCACCACAACACCCAACACCACTTCACAGATGATTGTATTCCATCGTCATCATTTACAATCCATTATTTTGCCATTGCTTCGCTAAAATTACAATATTCTACTATATTTCGGACTAAAATCAAATATTGTATCGCCAAAAAATGAAATTGTATCGCCAATTTTGATACTGTATCGAAATTTTTTAAATTGTATGGGAAAATTTGAGTGTAACAGATGATACATGAGGCCCCGTGACCAATGTGTCACCATCCACGAGTATACATCTCCTAGCACTGACGTCGTCCGGTGTTCTCCATGTTATTCCTCTGGTTCTTGTCCGAGTGCTTGCCAACACCACAGAACATGGAGCAGTGACAGCGGGTGTTGGCATGGTGGTGTCCTGCCTACACCAGAGGGTATAGACCCGTGGCTACACCCGAGGGTATAGACCCTTGGCTACACCCGAGGGTATAGACCCGTAGCTACACCTGAGGGTATAGACCCGTAGCTACACCCGAGGGTATAGACCCGTGGCTACACCCTAGGGTATAGACCCTTGCTTACACCAGAGGGTATAGACCTGTGACTACACCCAAGGGTATAGACCCTTGACTACACCTTGGCTACACCCGTGCCTGCCCCTTGCGCGCCGACCCACACTCTACACTCCCAGATGACCGACTGGCGCGCCACCACCCACTACACCCTGCCTCCCCCCACACACGCCCCCTCTCCCCCTCACACACACACGCCCCCCTCTCCCCCTCACACGCCCCCCTCCAACACTACTATAATTACCCCACCTAACACTCACACTCAAATACCAAGAGCCCCCGTACAAGCTGAACCACTGGATAACACTGCTGCCGGCTTCTTGAAGATGTCGCGAGCAACAAGTCTTAACACCAGGGGTTGAAAAGGGGCGCTACTTACCCCCATTAAGCACCATTAGAAGTATACACTTAGCAAAGGAGGTGTAACCCAAGCTTGGTTTGGCTAACCCAGACGTCCCAAAGCATACCAGGGGCCAGATTCACGAAAGCACTTACGAACGTTTACATCTTTTCTCAATCTTTGGCGGCTTTGTTTCCAATTATTAAACAGTTAATGAGCTCCGAAGCACCAGGAGGCTGTTTATAACAATAACAACAGTTGATTGGCAAGTTTTCATGCTTGTAAACTGTTTAATAATGATAACAAAAGCCGTCAAAGATGGAGGAAAGATGTACACGTTCGTAAGTGCTTTCGTGAATCTGGCCCCAGGAGCCCACATATTTCCGAAAGACGACCCAAAGAGCCATCCGGAAAAGGGTAGACAGCCATCAACTTGCCCGTGACCCCCTGCGGTGAGTAGGGCAGGAGTCTTAGCAGTCTAGGGTGGTGAAGAGGGATGTCTGACGGCAGTATCGAGATCCCAGCGGTCGCGCCCCATCATGTCTGGCTGTCCTTATCAACACAGACCGTCCTCATCAACACAGCCCGTCCTCATCAACACAGCCCGTCCTCATCAACACAGCCCATCCTCATCAACACAGCCCGTCCTCATCAACACAGCCCGTCCTCATCAACACAGCCCGTCCTCAAAATTCAACCCGTTCTCAGACCAAGTCCATTCCATCCAGCGGCCGACCCCACAGACGCATTCATCAATCTCAACTTGCTGTTCATTCAAAACGGGAATTTTCTCAAATATAAATTAATATTATAATACATTAGCATATAGTGCATATATAGGCATCTCTTGAGGTTATCTTGAGATGATTTCGGGGCTTAGCGTCCCCGCGGCCCGGTCCTCGACCAGGACTCTTTTTTTTTTGTTTTGTTATACACCCCCAGGAAGCAGCCCGCAGCAGCTGTCTAACTCCCAGGTACCTATTTACTGCTAGGTAACAGGGGGATCAGGATGAAAGAAACATTTTGCCCATTTGTCTCCGCCTCCACCGGGGATCGAACCCGGAACCTCAGGACTACGAATCTAAAGCGCTGTCCACCCAGCTGTCAAGTCATCCGTTAGGCATAGGTTAGGTGTTTAGGTTCTGTTGGCGATTATTTGTATTTGTAGTACGTGGGTGAAGCATTTACAGCGTCGTGATTCGAACACAAGTCGTCAGTGAAGCACTTGTTCCGGAAGTGTTCGAACGTCATCAGTTGTGAGTCGTGTGTAAACCGTTTTGCATTCATAAACAGCTGGGGGTTTGGCGGGTGGATGGAATGAACTTTGGGTCTTTGTTTATGAGGACGGGCTGCATAAACAATTACCAAATGATTGTTAATCCACCAGCCAAATCACTTCCTATGTTGACCAGACCACACACCTGAAGGTGAAGGGACGACGACGTTTCGGTCCGTCCTGGACCATTCTCAAGTCGATTCGATTGTGACTTATAGCCCAGCCCGTCCTCCAAACAAAGATCCAAAAGTGATTCCATGCACCCGCCAAACCCCCAGCTGTTTATGAATGAAAAGCGGTTTACACACGACTCACAACTGCTGACGTTCGAACATATCCGGAACAAGTGCTTCACTGACGAATTTTGTTCGAATCACAACGCTGTAAATGCTTCACCCACGTACTACAAATACAAATAATCGCCAACAGAACCTAAACACCTAACCTAACCTATGCCTATATATACACAATGTTAATATATTATAATATTAATTTATACTTGAGAAAATTCCCGTTTTGAATGAACAGCATGTTAAAATTTATGAATGCGTCTGTGGGGTCGACTGCTGGATGGAATGGACTTGAGTCGAGGACGGGTTGTCCTATGTTCGGACCAGTTCCAATAATGCTTCACCCACAAATAAGAAATACAAATGATTGCCACCAGAACCATGAACACCAAACCCAACCTCGGCCTAACTAGACACACAATTTGTAATATATAATCAAATTAATTCACATCAGACAAAATACTGCTTTTGAATGCACAGTTTAAATTGGCAAATGCTTCTTTTCAGGGTCACTTTACCTTGAGGTGCTTCCGGGGCTTAGCGTCCCCGCGGCCCGGTCGTCGACCAGGCCTCCTGGTTGCTGGACTGATCAACCAGGCTGTTGGCCGCGGCTGCTCACAGCCTGACGTATGAGTCACAGCCTGGTTGATCAGGTAATCGTCGGCCAAAGTTGGGAAGTTCAAAGTTTGTGTTCAAAGTTCGAACACAAACGAACGCACATTCACCTTGCTCATAACTTCACTCCTCAACAGATGGCAGCACCAACACCACGTTTTCTGATTTGTGACCATTTTCCATCTTGATCAGGGACCAGATTCACGAAGCAGTTACGCCAGCACTTACGAACCTGTACATCTTTTCTCAATCTTTGGCGGCTTTGTTTACAATTATTAAACAGTTAATGAGCTCCGAAGCACCAGGAGGCTGTTTATAACGATAACAACAGTTGATTGGCAAGTTTTCATGCTTGTAAACTGTTTAATAAACGTAACCAAAGCCGCCAAAGATTGAGGAAAGATGTACACGGTCGTAAGTACTTGTGTAACCGCTTCGTGAATCAGGCCCCGGGTTTGTTTACAAAACAAACGTCGGTTGCTGCTTACAGCTCCCACCGAGCAGCGCCGGATATCCGCGTGTGTGAATGACGAAGCACAAACTTTACAAAATAAGAAATCATTTAGTACGGAGCGCACGAGTGGGCTCAGCTTTGTGGTAATCCAACTCATGACAGAACGCTGTGTATCTGTATCAATAAAATATAAGGCTATCTGTCCAAGGTTAGAGGCTGGACTTTAGTGCAAGCCTCACCCAACTTTTCAAGATGAAACATGGGTTGTTTGGGAGTATCATAGGCCAGGCGAGGTCCGCCCCAGTGTCAATCTTTAAGAAACATCGGCTCCTATAACTACCACCTGCGATTTTCATAACGTCTGTAATCGTAGATTTGTTTTCTTGAGTGTTTAACCGTTTTCAGAGAGAGAGGGAGGAAGGAGAAAGATGGAGAGGGGTGAGAGAGAGAGAGAGAGGGAGTACAGGGCAAGTAAGAAGGAGGTGAGAGAGGGTAGGAGAGGCGACCCGGGGAGAGCCGGGTACCCCCTTCTAGTTATTTATACAAGTCTAAGATTAGCATAAGATTGCGAAGCGTCTCTGGTGGCATTATACGAAAAAACTCAAATACCAAACCCAGTACTCAACAAAATGGTCATTCGAACCATACACACCTTCACTAAAATAGGTTTGTGATACAAGAGGGATGATACAACACCGACAGGTGTATATATATTCCCTGTTACCCGGTGCATATACACACTCAGTATATACATACTGGCTGGTTGATCAGTATAAGCTGCTGTGGGTGATAGGCCTTATGTCCCACCACTGAAACAAACCAACATTATGACAATTGTCTCAAAGTCATCACCACTTAACTACCGGCCGGTCTCGGCAACCATAAAATAGTTACTTAAAATGAACAAATCCACAAGGGAATTGTGAGCAGCGTCTGGGATACTCTCGGACGTAGGTTCGAATCCTCGTCACGGCCCTTGTATTCACCTATCTGTGCTTGCGGGGGTTGAGCTTTGTCTCTTTGGTGGATTTGTTCATTTGATGCATCACGCTCTTCTGACTTCTGTGTAGTTACTTAAAAGTCTTTGATGGACGCGGGCGTTTAAAATAAATACACAGGTATACACACGTATACACAATAATACACAGGTATACACACGTATACACAATAATACACAGGTATACACACGTATACACAATAATACACAGAATACACAAATGACTCAGACAGCGTTCCGCCTGGAAAATACGGCGCCGACCAGTGAACATTGTAACATTGTTACAATGTTCGCGCCATTTTACAATGTCCATTTGTATTGTACTCAACAGTGCCCTCGCGAGGCACACATCCAATGATTGGAGGTATAACTAAACCGCTCTATATGTCTATAGGCTAACAATAAGCCATAGAGATGTAGAGCCGTAGCCTACTGAAATGTTGAGCCGTAGCCTACTGAAATGTTGAGCCGTAGCCTACTGAAATGTTGAGCTGAAGCCTACAAAGAATTAGAGCCGTAGATCCTAATACCAAATAGGAAATGTATATGTTTATCTCTCAGAATGTTTGGTAATATGTTTATTGCTTGTGATGT